TCAACAGCGTAAACTCCTGCACTCTGACAGACGTTTGCGCGTTTCTCGCGCCCTGACGGTCGCTGTCACGTGTACGTGACTTCGACAGCCACGGATTACCGACTGCTACGTATTTTTAAATATTCGTATATAGTAACGGATAAATGGCTTGTCGGTAGCAGCCCGATACAAGAATCAGTTTTGAAACACTAATTTTTATCAAACAAACTACGGATCAAATGCTGTTTATCTCTTGTTGGTTAATCGAAACTTGTATCTAGATGACAGTTTCAGTCATCTCCGATACCAGCCCCTGAATTCGAGCGCGTGGGTCGATAAACGATCGAGATACATCGTTTCCTCGTCTGTCGATGATTCGCCAGCGGAGCCGGTCGCGCTTTAATTTGAACTTGCTGGCACCGGGACGCTTTAATCAGATGGCCAGGGTGATATTTACATTTTGATGGCTCGCGGGTTTCATGCCGCGACGCTATATGGCCGCGTGTTACTCCACATGCGCCCTCTTAGCACCGTCCCTCTGTGTCGGCTCGCGTTAATTATTAACCACCGACTTGCGTGCTGAGTAGCTTTTGCGAGGCACTCGTGGTCGACTCTACGGCTCGTTTCGTTTCGAGTAACATTCTAGTTTCTCTCTCTCTCTCTCTCTCTCTCTCTCTCTCTCTCTCTCTCTCTCTCGGGCGCCTTTTCCCCAACGAAACTTTCGAACGTTTCCTTTGAACAATGGTTTGCCGAACTTTTCCAAAGGCTCCTCTTCGAACAGAGGAGAGAATTTCACTCAATTGAGACCCAATACTCGTATCAAATTTTCTAATATATTTGCAAAGGTTTCTAAATTCCATTTAATTCGATTTATTCCCGTCTTCCACATTTTTCTGAATTAAAAATTTCCTCTCCTGCTCGAATCGTATAACGTCCCGCTCCCAGGATTCGCGCACATTGCCTTGGAAAGCACTGCCTTTGAGCGTCGTCCAAACGGGACACCGCGTCGCGTTACTTTATGATTTTTAAATCGTTCGGGTTTTCGTATTTATTTGTTTGCACGGTTAGACGGTCGGCGATACGTACCAGCGTATGTACAGAAATAATCGAACGTCTTCGCGTAGGGAAGCCGCGAGGCAAGTTCCTTGGGCGCACACAAAAGTTTTGCAATTCAGCGAGACCGTTCTGCTAACCTTTGTTCGCGATTAATCAGGAATTTTCGTAACGAACAGCTTTCGCGAGCTTTCGCCGCTAACTCCACGGGCTACTTCGTCTACAGGATTTCTCGAAACACGCAGTAAAATTCGAAGTACCAATGAATTGTATACAAAAAATTTAATTCATAATTTTGTTCGACGTATAGAAATACTATTAACGACGAAGATTTAATAAAAAGGATTGCGGGTTAATTTCGTGGACTAGTCGCGAGAAAGCAGAAGCATCGGGTTCACCCTGGATCGTCTTTAACGTCGCATGTGGAATCACCTTCGCTCGACCGTGATAAAAATAATACAGCTTATTAGCCCCCGGGGGGTTGGTTGCGCCTTTGGAAGGTAGTGGCGAACGCGAACACGGGGATGAGTCGGAGCGAGGGTGAGCACGTTTGTACGTCGGAGGTTCGGTTAGAACGGATGAGAACGAAAGACAGAAAGAGGACAACGCACGAGAGTGAAAAGGTTTGGTCATGGCATAGGTCGAGGTGGAAGAGGGATAGTCGGAGAGATGAAGAAGGGTAAGAGGGGTAAAGTTCCCTCCCTGTCGCCGGCACGCATTGATTTTGCTCGACAGACAGCCGCCTGTTGGGTTCTCTGACTCGGGAACCTAACTGCTTGCTGTACCCTCGCATGCTCGTTTTCCGTCCTCCTCCCAACCCTCCTTTCCCATGCTTTTCCACACACCCAACGTCTCCCACCTTCGGTTATTTCGTCCCCGCGACGCCTATCGTCCGTCCCGATTTTCTTTTTGCTTTTCGACGTGGCTTTTACCGCGAACGTTAAAGAGGGAAAACATTGCAACCGGCTGAAAAATAGAGGTTCGTTCGGAAATTGTTTTCAAGCAAACGATTAGTTGGTCTTTATTTGCGCGAGTAAATCATAATTCGCCAAAGGTCAGAATTTTGTTGTTGTTGTGTCTAAACACTGTTTAAGCGTCGCGCACCACTTTGCCTCGCGTCCCGTGCAACGCGGAAAACGTTCTCGTTATCTCGCCGCGGCGGTGGTACTTGTTGCTGTCACGCTGCTCGATCGCGCGAAATGAAAATATTGATTAGCGAGGCGCGAAACAATCGCAGCTGCCACGCGTTTGCGTACCCATGCGTACGTGTTTTGATTCGCAGATGGAACCGGTTCAAAAGAGTACACTCGCGGTTATATTGGCTCGACGATAAACTTTAATAGACGTATCAGTTTATCGGACCGGCGTTTCGATATCCACGCGTCACTTCGCGTTTCGCTGCCATCGACGTTCTCCCCTTTGCGTGAGGAGGGTTGATTAAGGGGGCAGTCTGGTAATTTTAGATCAAAACATCAATGTTATTTTCATTTCTTAATTCTTTCTTATTCATAAACAAAAATGACACAGTTGCGTCAGGTTACACCCTCAACGAAACAAGAAATTAATAAACGAGCTTTAAATTTTCGATAAAAAAGAATATCGAACTGCTCTTTTAATTACGCATCGAATGCAAAGTGACGTTCGACGTGGGAACGCAAGCGCAGGATTGCAACGCGACACCGCTGGCCTGTATAATGTAATGCGAAGTTAATTATACGCCGGCGGGCGTTAAACCGTTTTAAATTCTAGCCTTGGTTGTAATTATCGTGTATCGACTACGTTGCAGTTAATGGATGAGGTATTGTTTCAAATTTTGCTACCATATCGATAAACGTTCTCGTCTAGCAACAGTTCGAACAAATTGATTTGCTTCCGACAATTCCCTGTAGAAATCAGAAATGGGCAAAGTTCTTATCTGCAGCAATTGAATTAAAAAATTAAGAAACTAGAAGCACCCGGGGACGCGAGGGTCCAAAGCTATGGCTTGATTAGTTGTACGATGAACATATACCCCTGGTCACGCTGCACGTTCATGCGCTGAAAAAACGTAACCTCGATGCACGTTCCCCGCAAGTCCGACACAGCGATAACAGAAGGTTGTAAAAGTTTCCTTCCAGACCAGCGTTCTCGAATATCGAAGCACTGGGAATTATTTACGAAGTCAGCGACTCGGTAATCGCGATGTCTACGACCTCCTTCCGCTCTCACTTCCGTTTATCAGCCCCTTGTTTGCACCGCCACGTTTGCTAAGTTTCCGCAGCTCGACAAACGTGCTATAACGATGGCGAGGTTTCAATGATAGTTTCGCAACTTCTTGGCTACCTCATTTCTACAGATTTATCTACAAAAGCACCATAGGTCCCCTGAATTAATGCCTTGAAACCGTGACCAATGTCGTTTCGCTTTCCAAGCACGGATACACGGAAAGTCCTCGATGAAAGTCACGAAGTCGGTAATCGTAGTGTCTACGACCTTCTCACGGGGTCCCGTCTTCCGTTTATCACCCCTTGTTCGCACCTCCCGCGTTTACAAAGTTTCCGCGGTTCGACCAACGTGCGAGGTCGCACGTTACTGCGGCGGGGGTGGGACGGCGGAGGCGGTGGTCGTGGCACGGTCAGACTCGACGAAGTGGCTGGATTTCAACCGGAGGTTGGTAGAGGGATGCACGACAGAGTAGAGGGTGGGATCGGTGACTGAACGTTGGAAGGGGAGGAAAACCGAGCCGGCTTGCTGGTTTCGCAACGCGTGCCGCTTCAGCGCCAGATGGCTTTCAAAGAACGAGAGAGAGAGAGAGAGAGAGAGAGAGAGAGAGAGAGAGAGAGAGAGACTAGAGAGAATGACTGGGATCGTGGTACAGTATACGTGCCCTCTTCTCGCCCATTACCCCGAGGCGAGCACGGTTACGCAAGAGGGCGGGAAGAAAGGAACCGGAACGTAGCAAACATTCCCGAATACACCACCGTTTTTTCTCCTCTTCCGAGATTTCATTAAATTCTCCGCTCGCGCGCTCCGAGGTTTTTCCGAAAGGGTTTTCGCTCGCCCGGGTAGACGCATACCGAGTACAAATTCAACGGGGGATGGAGAGCGGGTGTATTTTTTTCCATTATTAGCTTGGCCACGAGGAATTTTAACGACGAACAATCGTGACCGAAAAGAACGACGAAATGAGCGCGTCTGTGCAGGGGTTTTGTACAAAGAAAATAAATACGTGAAAAAAATTAATTAAATTTCAGTCTCTCGGACATTCAAGGGAGCAGTCTGGTACTTTGGTCTACGACGCACTTGATCCGTGTACTCCAAAGTACTCCAATAGCATCCGAATATAATTTAAAGTGATTACAAAGAATTCGAGCTAATCGCCCCTCCGAGTCACAACCCCAAAAACCAACACCGATATTCCACGGTCGTCGCGAGTTGACGAGGCGATTCCACGGTTCGTAAAGCGATTTTCGCCAAAGTCGCGTGTAATAACGGGCGCAATGTGATACCATTGGCCGAAAAGTGGCTGTCCTCCGCCTCACTGCCACGCTCTGTACCCCACTCTATCGAGAGATCTGACGATTTTGCTCGGTTGGAGCACGGTAACCGTGCAATACACGGGTTGGACTATCGAAGTGGAGGGGATAAGGGGACACGAAGTCGAACGAAGCGCGTCGAGCGCGCGCGACTCGATCCCTCAGTCGGGTAGCAGCCACCGTAGGTATCGTATCAGCGTGGTCGATGCGCTCTCCGTGTATCACGTGAGAGAGAAAGAGAGGAAACGAGCAGCTCGTTAACGATGGATTTTCTCTCGTATGGTGCGTAGCCGGTCCGTCGCGGTCGCTTGGTCTGTGGAAAACGCAACTGGGCGCACGCGCGCAAAGCGTCTCGCGAACAAAGGACAGCGATACCGACGCGCTTTAAAAGCGTCTCCCCTCGATCCTACTATTCCTCCCACACTGTCCGCTCCCCTCCCCTCCCCCCCCCCCCCACCCCACTTTTTGGCGTATCACTCTCTCTCGCTCTATCTTGGACATTCGACGGCTGGCGAGGCGCGCGCGTGAAAATATATCCTGGCCGTCTGGCGGTAGCGCCGAAGCATTCAGTCAATTAGCCGTAATGGCACGACCTGCCGCGTCGGTCTCGGCCAATTAAGTGGTGATTAGTGCGCGGAGCGGAACTCTACCATCGCTCGTATCTCTCTTGCGCGCCACGGCATGTGTCTGTGTGCTCGTGTGCCACGATAGATCGCGAGACCTGTGTGTTTGTCGTGCACGAAGGTGCATCTGCTCGCCAGTTACGAGGGAAGTGCGGTGTGAACAGCAAGCAACTCTTCGGCTCTTCGCGAAGCGAGATCCACGGTGCTTGGACTAGGACTTTCCTTCCGCTGCTTGTCGTTTTCGGAGTTTGGAGCTCGTGCACCGCGACGAGGACTTTTTCGCGTAATCGACGAACCGTGTGCGAGATCCTGTGTTTGTGTGTACCGGCGCGCACGGTAGCGGGATCCACTCGAGGCTGTAAATCACGCGTCGACGGCGGACGGGAGCAGCGGGAGTATGCGCGATGAATGATGATACCGCGCGAGTAGCGTTGCCGCGCGTTCCGAACCATTTGGATAGTGCAGTCGCGACGATTCGACCGCGAAACAATGTAAGGATGTTCGATTCTTGTTACAAAATCGATTTTTAATCGGAGCGGCTAGAGTAAAATAAGTTTTTGAACGATGATAAAACTCCGCAGGTTTCCGAAATTTTAGAATACTTGCATCGATTAAAACCTATGCAATTATTTTGATTTTAAAAAGAAAATTTAGACGAGCACGAACGAAAAAGTTTGGAAAATCAATTTGACAATCGAACGTCCTTGGGGTAATTCAAATTCTCGTCCATCCGTCGTTGTCTTATCGTCGTTAATTTTTCTCCGCCCAGCGTTCCAGTGTGGCGTGAAGCAACGAGGGATTTCATCATTCCTAGTGATTTATTTTTAACTACCAACGGGGACAGCCCCTCGACTTGGCGAGTAGTGGAGAAAAGTGTGGCGTGAAATGCCGTGCGCGTTGATCGTGGAGCCTTGGTAGATGTAGAAAAAATGCTTTGCGATCGATACGAAGAGATCACAAAGAAGAGGCGACGCGCCAAAATTTCGTGGTAGTTTATAGCATCGCGTGCAATTCGCGACGAGTCGTCTACGTGCCGGGAGCAGGAGTTCACCCCCGTCCCTCAAGGCTGACAGAATGGACTTCCGGGCGCCGCATCCACTCGTGCATCCCTCGCACGCGGGACACCCCTACTACTATCCAGGTATACGTTCACCGGCGTTCTCTTCTTTCAACTCTTTTGCACTTTCGACGATTTCCTGTGTTCCGGGGATCGGATGACGCGACATCCGTTTACCTGGGGCTCGTTCGTTGTTCTAAGGTTTATTGAATCGTACTTGCTCCGTGTTACTCGCGAACATCAAATCTAAGCTTCCTTTCATTCGCAAGTTGTTTGCTCCACTCCAAAAATATTCGATAACTTTATTATTTTACAAACGATAACGAAAATGTTGAGATGCTTCAATTTATCGATAGCGAATGTGTGGCAATTTTGGAGCGCAATGTGTCAAGGAAGAAAGCATGTGCTTAGCAGAAAATGTCTGCAAGTTCGATTTCGCAACACTCCGGACAAAATGCGGGCTAAAAACGTCGACGAAGCGGATTTACGTCGACCGGGGTTTCGACACCTTCCTCGCGCGCGAACCAAGAAATTTGCTTTCACCAAAGTGTCTAGCATCCGCGATTGACGTGCCGCTCCAGGGATCGCGAGGGAAAAAAAATGCAGTTTCGCCGCGGAGAGAAAGAGGCACGAGCTTAACTCGCTCGCCGCAAAGGCGTGCTGCACTCCGCCGCCGAGTACTGGCAATTTTCTTAACTACCTTGCCGTACTTTACCTCCGGTTGGTCGCCGCGCGTGTAATTTAAGTTATCGCCACCGTAGTGTTCTTTGAGAGCTGCGAGAGAAAACAACCACCGATGTATACACTTGTGTGTGTGTGTGTGTATAAATATTGGCGCATTTAAAATATATTTTAAACGAACTTTTTGGCCAAAGTATCCTCACCTTTCTAGTGCTAACAATAAGTAGGTAATATAGTATCGTAGGTGGCTATAGACACTCATCCTATCATTTCATAAACTGACTCGTTCAAAAGACGAAAAGGTATCATTTCCAGATAAAATTGTTTCGAAGCAGCGACACGATGCGCGTAATAAATTTATGGGACGATTCGTTCGATACCTAAACGACGAAATTTATTGGAAGTTCGCACGGCCTCGATTTTAGTGGCTGTAAAGAGATCTACTTGTCGACTTGTTGGTCGTTAGTAGCCGAACGTCACGTCGTTAATTGCAGATCGCGTGTTTTATCGCGCATCGAGCGTCGATGGTAAATATTGGAAGAGTGCGTTAGTCGAGTTCGTGCGTGGCCATTCGAATCGTATCGCTTTCTATTGTTACGTCTCTCTCTCTCGCTTGCGTACTCCCCTCAACCTTCTACCACCCCCTCTGTTCACCCTCTGGAAATGAATAATTAAAACAAACGAGGTGAAGTAAATAAATTTTGTATACTTGTGCCAGACACCCCTATAATTTCGTATATTAATGTGTTCATATACCAACAATCAAATAAACTACGAAGCACTTTATCTTGGAGCGCTTTAAGTTGGCTGTATTAAAAATTAATTCCACGAGTAAAAAAAGAAAAAGATTTTGAGAAACTCTGAATTACCATAGTTTTCCGTTTTTCCCTCGAACGTTGGCTTTCTTCCGCTGTTTTTCCCCTTGTTATTCGTTTCCATCGTGCTCCGGGACGACGAAACTCTGGACATCCGTAACGTCGAGGACGACGAGTCCGTTTTAACTCCTGTACGCCGTTCGAATGACGGATATCGGATATCGTGCCGACGACCGCCCACGAAGTCCCTGCTACTTCCACGATATTCCCTTTCGTGATAGATCCTCCTACTTCGTCTCCCGTTGTCGCCGTTTTTTGTACGAAGAAATTAATTATCCGTCGGTGACGAGCGTGGTTTCAGCACTACCGATCGTTCCTCGCCGAGAATAGAAACTACGTCGACCTTCCCGAAATCCTGACCAGTGGGTTTTGCGAACAATTCCGATCGCTTAAATCGGAATTCCATTCTGGGACATCCCCTGCCGTAAATATTCCATTCGTTTAATGCGTCCAGTTGTTTGTCCGTTGCGCGCAAGAAACGAGTAGTTTCGCGATGCCCTTTGTAATTGGCTCGATTCGCCGCTCGCATCGTTTCTTCTTTAATTGCATCTGGCGTTTAACCACGAACAAATCGACGAGTACGCGCCGACCCATAAAGCGCGCGTTTCTGTTTGAACATTCCGCGTTCCACGGGCGCGTTCGATCGCCACGCCTTCCTTATTTCTCGCGTGCTTGTCCCTGAAATTGCCGTACTTGTTCCGAATGTTGCCGATTTAACGAAACCGAGGAACAACCGGTTTGCCATCGGTCGAGTTCATCTCTGCACGCGAATAAGGATGTGTAACTATTCGCGTCGATAATAATTGAAACACGTGGCGAACGACACGCGATTGCGGTTATTAATATACGGCTGTTCAAGCCATCGTTTATACGAGTTCGTAATGAAATGGAGTAAATAAAATTTACTCGAGCTGGTGAACCGAGACCATACTCGCCACTATCATGCGTGGCATTATTTAAAAATTTATTTCATTCAAAATTTGTGTAAACCATCCTTACGGAAGCGTTAAAACTGATCCGAAGTTTTACCCAGATCGTTAGCATCGATCGCTGGTAGTTTCACGAGTTCGATACAATCGTTATCGATACTCGACGATCGTTTCAGAGGAGCCTTTATGCACACGAGCCTGTTCAGTCCCGTGAATCGTGCTAGCCCGGCGTATTGTGACACAGAAAACAGTGTGCCGCTTGTTGCCAATAATTGTCAGGAATTGTATGTCATTAGAGATAATTCTTATCGTGGCTAGGCCACCGTTCGTCGAAGCGTTCGTCGCAGTGCGGCGTATAGATATTTATTCTAATTGACTTATGCCTGCGCGTTGTGACCTTAAGGCGTCGATAACTATCGAAGGCGAAAAGCGGGGAACCGTTTTACGGTCGTGCAATATCGTAAATCGGCGAACGTCGACGAGAGGAATGTAAATTGATCGCGAAACGAGCGTTCACGGCGCGAGACAACGACGAAACGATCCAATTTGTCGAAAAGTATGGCGTGGGTTATGCAACGGGGTGATTAATTTTTCTGAGAAATGGTGCAGGCTGCGATGGTCGTTCGTTAGCTCGTTTAGCGACGCACGAGCCGAGGGGCGGCTGCGGGAGTCTCTCGGGCTGCGACGAAGCCCCACTGACAGGCCTCGGGGTTAAATCCAGTTCCATTACTGGATCCCCGATCCGGGTGGTCGCCTAGCAGCGTCTAACTTGGCTAATTCCCGTAACCTCTCCACGCTGGGTGCGCACACGCCTGTATATTTACGCCCTAACGAAACTAACTAGAAATAGCTACCGATTGCGACACTGTGATTGTTATGAAACGTACAAATGTGTCGCTAATCTCACTTTGGAAAATTATTCGATTAAATTTTTTATAGCTCTGGTGAGCATCGAATATGCTTTTTAAGAGTTTATTCGACTGCCACAAAATATAGATTTAACTTTAATTGAACAGAGGTACTCGTTCGAAAGTACAAAGTGTTCGTTTCAGCGTACTTAATTGGAAGCCTCCCATCAAAGATACTTTGCAATCGGTTGAAAAGTTACGCTCGTTACAATGGTGGACGATTTGGTTCACGCCGCGGGTGTGTTTGTCGACGCTGGGAAATAAATCGCGAACCAGCGAACGTGAACGCGAGTGGACGATAACGAGCGCGAGAATCCGCTTTATCAGGGCCACAGCTGACTGAGATATGCCCGTGCGCGTTCTGTTTGTCCTTTTTTTTTTTTCTTCGGTGCTTTCTTGGCCTGTTTTTATCCGGGCCACCCGTGCAGCACTGTAGATGTCTCGCAAGGTCTGCTCGGTACGCGGACCGTAACGAAGTGGAACGAGCGTAAAAACGAGTGGAAGACAATTAAGGAGGGTCCGCAGATTCCGTAGAGGGGAGTCAGTGGCTCAGGTGGTAGAAGAAGGTGGCGGAGGAGAGGAAAAAACGGAAGGTCGACCACCTATCGGTCTGATAAAGTCCATTACCTTCTCTCCTGGCTCTCGATTCTCCACACGATTTCTCTTCCTCCTTCTGTTCACGCACCAAATTCGTTCCGGCCTTCTTCCCTCCCCATTTTTAAAGTAACCCAATTATTTTCTGGTTTTCGTTCCTCTTCGGGCATTTATTTCGAATAGAATTGTAATAAACGCCATTTTCGAATTACCTATCCTATAATATCAGCGTTCTCGGTCGGGAGTCATTGCATTCTCTCTCCGTTCATCCTCCAAGGGTCAGCTTCTCGTCCCGCGGCTCCTCTTCCCATATGCTTCTCAGAAATTCACTCGCAATCGTTTGTTTGCGTTTATTTTCATACCTGGCGGCCAGCTCTCGTAGAAAATCTCCTCTTCTGCTGCGTTTTTTCCACCCTTCCTCTGCCGCTCAGACTTCTTCCCTCCCACTAGCCCTCCGGTCCCTTTGCTCTCTCCGCGTGTCTTGCTCGCTCCGCAGTCTACTAAATAATTGCAAGGCAGCGACGTTACTTTTTCTTCTTCCTGTTCTGCCACGCTCGACAAAGGGCTGTTAAAATAACCCTTTGTGTTTCCATCCAACCCCTTTCCTGTCACTCTTTTCCACGAGCCAGTCCGTCCCCTTGGACCATCGCACGATGCGCTTCCCCACCGTTTTCCTTGCCACGACCCTTGCGAACTCCTGCACCCTACGTATCATCGCGTTCAGCGTATTTACAAGCAGCGTTCGGTGTCTGTCATCGATCTATTTCTTGAATCTCTTTTGCTAACGTCTCGTTGACCCCGCGTCGTTTTATAGATTGACGGACAAAGCTCGTCGATCTTCGACAGCTCTTCGAAACAACATACGCTCTGATAAATTAAAGACGTCGCTCGGAGACTACCGGCGTTTTGCTCGCGTTACGTCGCGTGGGGGTGGAACGACCGTTCGTCATCGAGGGGCGCACGGTACGTGCCTTTAGGTGTTTTACCTTCCGGTTGCCGGAACTCGAGCACGCACGGTGAAAAGTGCTTCTGCTACTCTTTTATTCCTTCCTCTCATTTTTTTTCGTAGACGCGCAGGCGTCGACCTCTTTGAAAAG